TCTCTCTGTCTGTCTCTCTCTCTCTCTATATATATATATATATATATATATATATAGATATAGACACACACACACACACACACACTCACACACTCACACACCCATGTATTTCTTTTCTTCTTCTTAAAAAAGGCCCTTTCACATTTCTTGCAATAATGGTTTAATCAACTCCTTTAGATTTGTCTAGGAAGCTCTTTATTTCACCTTTAGTTTTAAGTAATAGCCCTGCTGGGTAGTCTTGGTTGTCCTTGCTCTTCATCACTTTGAATATTTCATGCCAATCCCTTCTGGCCTGAAATGTTTCTGTTGAGAAATCCACTGACAGCTTAATGGGAGCTCTCTTGTAGGTAACTGTCTTTCTCTTGCAGCCTTAAGATTGTCTCTTTGCCATTTTAATTATAATGTGTCTCGGTGTGGGCCTCTTTGGGTTCTTCTTGATATGGACTCTGTGCTTCCTGAACTTGTGTGAATATTTATTTCATCAGGTTAGGGAAGTTTTCAGCCATTATTTCTTCAAACATATTCTCGATCCCTTGCTCACTTTCTTCTCCTTCTGGTATCCCTTTAATGTGGATGTTGTTATATTTGATGTCTCAGAGGTCTCTTAGACTTTCCTATTTTTAAAAAATTCTATTTTCTTTTTGTTGCTCTGCTTAGGTACTTACTGTTATCTTGTCCTCTAAATTAATGATTTGATCCTCTGCTTCATCTAAGCTGCTGTTGATTCCTTCTAGTGTATTCTTCATTTCAGATATTGCATTCTTCATTCTGACTGGTTCTTTTTTATGGTTTATTTATATATAAGTAATGCAAAATATTAACTATATTACACACACACACACACACACAATAGTTAAATGTCATTAATTTTCCTTGAGTTAAAGCTCCAGACACAAAAACTACTTAAACAACACTGTGTTTTAGCTCTAAATATCTTTGGAAGCCAACAACATATTTTTTAGAAAGGAGTGAGTGGGGAAAGCTGAAAAAACACAATATATTAACCTCTGATTCTAGTCAAAAGAGGATATAATGACTAGAGCAGGCCTATTTATCTCCATCGCATTCCATCATCCAGCAATTAAAATCTGATTTCTGGTTTTCCACCTGCTTACCAGACACCAAACATCACCACAATACGCCATTTCTTCCCTCTGCAGATGGTCAGATCTCAGTCACTTATCAGTCAAAATGGCATGAGCTCCAGATCCTCAAGTGGAGTATGGACACCACCATGCAAAATGCTTCCTGGGAATACCTGGCATCCTGTATACAAGTACCATCCCCTCAAGTCCTAGTGCTTGGAAGGATATCAAGAACAGGATAACATCCATGAACTTTCAAATCTCCATGTTGTAGTTATGTGAAAATAGAATACTATCAACCTAGCTCTGATCACACAGACTACATTCAAGATGGCTCCAAAAGTCAAGAATCCTAAGAGGACAACTTGGAAGTTTGGTTTGGACCTTACTCATCCAGTAGAAGATGGCATTTTTAATTATGGACATTTTGAACCCTTTCTATGGGAGAAGGGTAAAGTCAATGGAAAAATTGGAAATCTTCGGAATGCTGTTTACATTGAATACATCAAGAATAAAATCAGTCCTAGCCAGTTTGGCACAGTGGATAGAGCATCAGGCTGAGGACTGAAGGGTCCCAGGTTTGAATCTGGTCAATGGCACATGCCCGGGTTGCAGGCTCGGTCCACAGTAGGGGGCATGCAGGAGGCAACCAATGAATGATTCTCTCATCACTGATGTTTCTATCTCTCTTTCCCTCTCCCTTCCTCTCTGAAATCAATAGAAATATTTTTAAAAAGTACAAAATCACTGTTGTTTCTGAGAAACAGTTCTCTAAAAGGCATTTTAAATATCTTACCAAGAAATACCTTAAGAAGAACAGTCTTCAGAATTGCCTTCATGTGGCTGCATGTGACAAGAAGACTTAGGAACTTCGTTACGCCAGATTTGTCAGGACGAAGACAGATCTGCGTCTGGGGACTAGATGAAGCCACTCTTTACAGGCTTTGATTACTAATAAAACAAATGAAGTGTACAAGAGAAAGAATCATCTAGAAATAGACTTTCAGTTTATCAGTGAATAAAAACATAGCAATCTATAAACAAAAAAATTCTATCAACCTAGTGTACCTGCCATTTAAGGACCACATGTATGACGCAAAAACAGTACTTCTTGCCTTTCTCAGCCAATGGGAAAGGGAAGAGAAATACACTTTATTTACCAATTAAATTTTCTTTTTAAACCAACTTGTTTATAAAAATATTTGATGGGTTAGCATAAACAAGGCGCTATTCTAACTGGTGTGTGTATGTTTGTGTGTTAGTATTTAATAGATACACATTCATACAGATGCAAATGGAATCCGTGCAATAACCTTATAAGGTAAATACAACTGCTAGTTAACTGATAAAACAAGTGTTCAGAGAGATTTAGTAACCTGCTTTAGGTCACACAACTAATCTGAAAGAAACCACACTTGTTTCCAGGAAATTTTGATTCCAGAGCCCAAAAACTGAACCATTGTGCTATAAAATGTCAAAGATCCACAAAATCTGAAATAAAATCTTCTAGTTCTTTTTCATCTTCATTCCAGAACATGTGAGTCAAGTCTCTCAAACTTAACTGCTTATACTGCATGGTCACGGGTGTCAACATAAAGGAGGGAAGCAGGTGACATAGAGAATGAAAACTGCCTCATCTGCTGGGGGCGGCCAACACTCAGCTGCAGCAAACTGTTAAAAAGTAGGCAGGTGGGGGGAACAGAATTACCCAAAATCTGACTTTTTATGTAAAATTCTGTGATTTTTCAAACAAAGCAATCATATTTAAAGACACTTTTTAAACACAGTCTGGGCCAAACAAAACACGTCTGTGGATCTAAATTATCTGTGGACCATGACTTTGAGACCTCTGTCCTAAACCATACCTTACTCAAATTTTCCCTGGGGAAAAAAATCAAATCACTGGCAATAAGTAATTGGTAATATCCACAGTTCATTGCAAATATCTGTTTGGTATTTGTTCGATTCTGATTCTGAAAAACTTGATTCCCTTATGCCCCCTGAGATACTGAACTAAACCTCTTCCCAATTCTTGTCTTCTTCCTGCAAAGTTTCCCTTGGAGGGAAGAAAATGACCTTGCTGATTCTATTTATTATTTAATGGAACTCAGTCTCAAAATCCCTGTCAGAATCCATAATGAAACAGAGAGAGAAGACTTAATCAGCTGTAAATGTACTGTGTTAGCATTCACTGCAAAATGCTAATAATATTTCGAGAATGCCATTTCTCTTCCTGGCCTCTTGACCAAGTTGTTTAATGGACTGAGACTTGGGAAATAATGAAAATAATTTCGGCTGAGAACTTCCCAACTACACACCAACCCTGAACTGCCTGGCTTCGCAGCAGTGGCGGGAGCACCAGTGCGGTGCCCACCATAGGTTTAGCAGGAGCACTCGCCAACCAGGTGAACACTAACTCACAAAAGGAGAAGCGAGTATTTCAAGTGTAAGTGCAAATACCCACCTTTTAGGCCTCCTAGCATCAGGTTTTCTTAGAATGCTACAAAATTACAATTGTACGCCTAACAGTACGCAAAACACTTGAATCCCTGGCGGTAAAGCGCTTTAGGAAAGAACTCAAGTCCACAGCTCTTACTTAGCAGTGAGTCCCTCACCTGACGCTGACCACATACTCTAACCAAGCGAAGCACAGAACCCATTTTCCAAAATTTTTTTCTTCAAATTCCTTCTTTTCAAAGAAGGCATTTCACACAGCTCTGGGACTGTAAGGAAGAAAGGCGGATGGCCGGCCGGAGCTGTTAGTTCCGTAATGTTACATACGCACCCTTCCCCCCACGACCCGCCACCCCTCCCTACATCCAGGGAAATTGCTGGCCAGGCCCATGCAGGGACACTGTCCCGGCATCGCCAGCACCTTCCTTTTGCTGTGTGTTTTGTTTCTGTTCTGGGATTTCTGGGATAGGGGACGGCTGAGCAGCCTGCGTGTCCAGTCCTCAGAATGGACTCCCTTGTGGTGAGTGTCACTGTGGAATCTTCCACAGCAACTGGCATCTTGGTGGTGTGGTCTTTCACTATCAGGACTACAGAAAAATCTTTCCCACTTGTATCCTGAAAGCCAGATGAAGACCTGGGAAATTTTTACTGTAG